TGCGCCACTTCATCTAACCACCTCCAAGAGAAGAAAGTGGCTCTAAGACAAGAATTATTCACTTAAATAAACAGACTGCCTAACAAGAAGGAGCAAAATAAGTAGATAAAATTCAGTAAGGGGAGAACCGAATAAATCGCCGCATTTCCCCACTGGGGCATTTATTAGAGGCTATGAAGAAGAGGAGCTTGCCTGAATACTTCCAGTACGCTCTTTCCAGAGGAAAATCTTACGGTGAGCCGCGTGGGCAGCCTGGGAACAATTTATTGTACTTTTTATCGGTTTTCTTTGCTTACAAATGAACACTGCAAGGAGCCGGCAGCTCTCCCTAAGTCACGCACACACGGCACAGCTTTGCCTGAAAGGCAACTCTTCTTTTCCCTTAAACTCTGAAAAGCTCAAAATGCAGAAGTTCAGTGAACCCATTAGGTGGCTTCATTACTGGATTTACTGATTAAAGCCACCACAGAGATACGCAGCATCCACACTGGTACTCTATAGCACCACATGCCAACTGGACTGACTGTAAAAAAAAGCTGTTTTTAGAACCACAATCCTACATTTGCCTGAACAAAACATTTAATTTTCGCCACGAGAAACCGGAGGGAATTTGCCTGGGAAACCCAAGGGATTATTTACCTTTAAAAGCAAGAGATGGTGCGCACCATCTATCCAAGCACAAACAGGCCTACATACTCCCCACACAGCTCTAAATGCTCCTCTCTCTGGAGTCCCTGTTATTTTCTAGCACCCTCCCTCCACGTAGGATCAAAGATTTTTACATTTCTGTATGCTGGGGAGGGGAAGGGTTGGAGAAAAACAGCTTTCTAAGCTAAGGGCAGCAAAATATCCATGGAACACCACACGAGCCTCAGCAGAGACAGACTTTGCAGCCAGTTGTGGAGGCAGAAGGAGCTCACTAATATCTAGCGATAACTCAGAACTTGCACGTTTGGCCTTCAAAGCTCTTACTCAATTCACTAGCGCGCCAGGGCTGATCCCTGGCCTTCTGAAGACATGAAACAGGCCAAGGGCATCATTAGGACCGCGAGAGCTCTGCTTTCATCATAGATCCCTGTATTTCTCTTTTCATTAGCCGCTCTCGACAGGGCCATTACACACACGAGATTACACGAGCAGTACTTAAGGGCTGTTTAATTCAACAGTGTTTCCAAGCTAATGGACGCAGTTCAATTTTCCAAAGCCGAGAGGGCTCCGCGTGGGATCCCGCAGTCCACGTCCAGCCAAGCCAGCCCACGAGCCACTGGTTCCCACATCAGCAGCACCGACATGGCAGCAGCCCTAAGCCGGGGGTCGTCATCCATCTCCCTTCCCTGTTACTTTTAGCACTATTCATCTCCCATTACTGACATTTGTGAGTCCAAAGAGTCAGCTGAGGAAATTCAAACATGTTCGACTACGGACAGGGAAGGCACTTCCCCATGCCCATGCTGCAGAGACAACCCACCACCAGAACGCTTCCTCCTTCGCTGCAGATGCTGGAGACACGTGCTGGCGACCCAGGATTTAAGGTCGCTCCTTCCAGCAGCCCGGACGCGGGGAGCGGATGCCCGGTGCGATATAGATAGCGCTCGCAAAGCCCAGCCGCGTTGGGTTTCATAGTGGCAAGGTTTATATGTACAGTTAAGACAATTTAAGCCACTTGGGAGACTGCAAGCTTTTCAAATCGATCCCTTTTCCTGTCACTTTGGAGCTCCTGAGTGGCACTGGCTGCACACAGCAGCACCTGCAGTTTCAGCTTTGCAAGGAGATAAGATTTGTCCTTTTAACACCACCACCACTTTCCACAGCCTGTGCATACGTGACGTGGGATAGCAGGAATTCATGCAACACTGAGGTTTTCCTGATGTTATTCACGACTGCGGGCATGACACTTTCCTCTCTCCTAAGAAAACAGCTGTTCCAAGCCAAAGGGAACAGACCCAGCAGAGAGGTTCGCTCCATGCAAGTGGAAATAGAGGAAGCAAAAGCAAAGGTGCACACATGGAGCAGCATCTCCAACGTCATGACTGCTCCGCAAGCACCAGCCCAGCATGTGCAACCTGCCCAATCTCCCACCAAAAACCTCCTAGGAATCATGGCATGTTATTCCCGGCCCGCGGTTCCTTCAGTCCTGCCCGACAGTTTCTGCAGCGAATGGCAGTGGAAGCACTGGGACAAGCCCGGTTTTACCTCCCAAGGATTCGCTCAGCCCAGGATGCAGCTATCCCTCCTGTGCACTGAACGCGCTGGCGGGGGCTTCAGGACAGACGTTTCTCGTTGCCGCCTCTTGCTCAGGACTCGGCCATTGGCTGCAAAGTCACTTTGAGCTTAGGCAGCTCAAAGAAGCTTTTTTTGCATAGAAAGGAGGCCGAGCAGATCCTGCTGGGATGAGAGCCCCCAGGCTGGGGTGGATGGGGGAGTCAGGGTGTCCCTGTATTACCCTCTCATGGCCCGGCCTACAATTGACTTTAGGAGGCAGCATCTGGTTTTGATATAACCGAGTCTGGCAGCTTTTGGTCACAGGCTCGGTCCTGCAAAGGCTCCTATTGGAGACGTGGAAGATACTTCAAATACCCCCAAGGTATTTTCAATGCCATCTAGGAATCTGTTCCTCCAGCAGCATTACAGTAGAGAAGGACAGCTTTCCCAAAACACTTCCATAGGCCAGGGGGTCCGTGTCGGGAACACTTCCTTTCCCAAGGGATCTGCAGCAAGCAGGACACTATCTACAGGAACTGCGATGATGCCCCCGAAAGAAGCACAGCAGGGCCGCTCAGGGCTTGTCTGCCATCTCTGAGCTCCTTCCAGACACGAGCCGGCACAGCTATCAGCAGGGCCGTTTTATCCTGCTGCGCTCTCCGAATACATCAAAAAAGAAAAAAACAGAAAGGCACTAGACACAACACCTGCAACATCATCTCGACTTCTAGGTTTCCTCGGTTGTTACTTGCAAGGCGAAATGAAGGCAGCCACCTCCATGCATGGGGTTTTAAAGCAGAACAAAGCAAACGCTGTTTTTCCTAACAGTGCAGAATGTACTCAAAAAAAAAAAAAAAACCCAAAACCACATGCAAAAAAGAGGGGACACAGTGAAAGACAAACGTCTGTGCGGCTCAGCACCACAGTCAGGTGCCATCCATTGCGGGTGTTGCACAGAGGGAGCCTCCCGCCGCAGCAGGCTCCCGGGAAGGCGAGGATGCCGTGCGCAGCGCCGCGCTCCTGCTCCCCAGCACCCCGGCCGCGTGCGGCGCTGCCCTCGCTGGCCCCTTCGCACCAGGCACTGGGAGAGCCAAGAGCCTGGAGGGAAGCGGGGCAGGGGAGGAGAAGGGAGGCTGCGCGGGAGCACTCAGTGCCCCCACAGCGCGCTCGGGGTGCTGGCACAAGCTGTCCCAGGGCACAGCTCACCTCGCATTTTGCCTGTCCGGAGAAGCGACATGAGGCGCCGCAAAGGTCGGGACAGGCGGCTTTGGTCTCCGGGCACGTTTGACTCCGCGCTAAGGGCGCTGCAGCCCGTCGCTCTGCAGCAGGCTGCCCACCTCCGGGAAGCTGCTGGCTGCAGGACCATCCTCATCAGCGAGATAATCCCGGGCAATGTGCAACTCACATGCTCCACTCACAGCCCAAAAAAGCAGCCCACAACAACATACACCCATCCCCAGGGCCTAAGGTCTCCTTGGGAGGTAAGAAAGAACGAGGGGCCAGAGGATTTGGGAGATTACGCTCTTCTTAAACAGTTGAAATAATTCCCGACCTGACTCCTTATTCCCTTTTTTTTTTTTTTTTTCTTTTTTTTTAGCAGATCATTATAGTATTTAATTTGATCTGCTTGCACAAGAAACACAGAGGCAGCCCCCTCTCTGCTGCTTCCACGGAAGACATCGTCGGATGCAGATTTCCAGTGTCACTGCAAAGAAAGCAAGTGCAAAGGGACTAGCAAAGCAACACAGAGAGAGATGCGAGATAATCAACATTTGGTCATTCCTGGCACTAACAGTAGCCCCCTCGAGCGCTCCCTGCTCCATAGGTTTCTGGACAGGACTAGTTACTGTTTCGTGGGACATGGGGGGCATTCTCTGCACAGAGACACAGAGAACGTGCTCCAGCTGTGCTGTCTTCAGTTTCCCTGTGAACAATCCCAAACTGAGAAACAGTAAATAGTTAATTATGTTGCACAGAGAACCACTATACGCAGCAAGGTTCAATACATTATTTATCAAAGTTGAGAGCAGAGAAAGGGCACAGAGCTCTGTCAGGAGGAGAAAGAAAAGAAGTCTAAGTTTCTTCGGCAAGTACTTTGGTTTCAGGCAGGATCAGTGTTACAGTAATGGTAAGTGGTCTCCCTTTTAAGATTTAGGCAATCTTAAGTAAAATCACCCCTTTCCTGAGTACTACGAGCGCAGGATCCGGGCTTTCCACTGCATGCATTCTGACAGCTATGTTACAAGAACGCAAGTTTCTACCTGTTGCACCCGAAATCCCACAGACATCATGGAACGCCACAGCAAGGGGCTATATGTGAAATTAAATGCACAGGCAGAGCATTTCCAAAGCAATTTTAAAGTTGAACCAACAGGAAAACCCAGGAGTGTCCTGGGGGACAGAAACTTCCCCAATGGAGAACAAACCCCTCCAGCTGTGTCCTCTGCGCCACACGTCTAGGTCAAGAATCACGGGGAGCCCTAAGGCAGTGATGAACCTGACTCTGGGAGGAAGCGGTGGAGGTGATCTGCTAAAGACAGCGTTGTTCACAAATCCAGGTTATCCTAAAGAACAGCACACGCAGGGCGCTGTTTCAGACAGCAGCATCAGGGGCACGTTCAGAGGCCACCTGTGACTTTCTACGATTTCCCAGTGCGTTGCACCGAGCTCTGCTCTTAATCCTCCCCCCTCCCCGCCTTGGGGGCGCCTCAGGAACCCTCCGGCGGGGCTCTGCGGCGGTCGCCGGGCTCCTTGCGGCGGCCCCGCTCCCGGGCGCTCCGCGGCCGCCCCGCACTCACCCAGCACGAAGCAGAGGAAG